CTGAACTCTATAGCCCTATCTTTATTAAAACATCTGCTAATCTGCTGTTAGCCTCCTTGTGAGCTTTATAAACAAGCAATGCTTAAATAGAGGGATGCTGCATTACGGTGCTGGGTGAGAGTGCATCCTTAGGCCATGCTTTAACACTGGAGATTGCTCCTGCAGATAATCCCAGCCTGCCCGGGCACGGCCCTGATTTCATCAGTTTTGTACAAAATCAGTGATTCCAAACTTTGCGATTTTGGCTCGCAGCAGGACAGGGGTGGCCAGCCTCCTCCTGTGTCAGCTAGCATCGTGGGGTGGGGGGTTAGGGAGGCAGGAAAGCAACGTCCCTGCAGCAGCACAGCAATAACTTGTTGGGTACATGAATGCCCCCAGAATTACTCTCCAATGGCTGTCACTTTGCGGGGGCTGGGGTCGAGAGTGCCGCTTACCTGCTGTTACCCTGAGAGGTTCCCACCAGGTCCAGCACAGCCCCGCGGTGCGGCTCAGGGGAGATCTCCCCGGGGGGGCTGGAGGGCTCCAGCTTGGTTGGATCTTTGGTAAATTTGCTTCCTGGTGCCAGATGCGCAGGGTGGGTTTGGAAGGAAAAGCAAAACCAGAATTAGCAACCAGAGATGCCAACGCCACAGCTTTTCCGCCTCCACTTGTTTCCCTCCTAGTCCCTGAGCTGAGGTCGGGGTGGGGGACAGGTTTTTCAAGAGTCACCTGCTTGCAAAAACAAGGGTGCCAATTTAATTGGTTTTACACATTAAAATAATAGCAAGACACTTACTTAAACCTCTGTGTAAGTAAAGGGATCCCACAGCTCCGAGCCCCTCGTGCAGCAGGAGAAATCTCTGCTGCAGTGATGCGGCAGGGGACAAAAGCATCCTGTCACCATGAAAGACCTCCTCTCTCTCCTGTCCCTCTCCCTCAGCAACCTGAAAGGAGCTGAAACAAAGCCCCAGCAATGACCTTGGGGATGAAAAGAGTGATCTGAAATGAAAATTGGGCAGGGAAGGTGAGCGAAGAGCTGCAGGATTAGTGCTGGGGGAAGGAGGGAACGAAATGACACCATGAGGCTGCAGAAGCCATGGAGGTGCCTTGTTAAACAGCCACTGCCAAAGGCCCTCAAACTGCCATCGTGACATCCCCACCCTTGCAAAACACATCCTGGCTGTGGGAACACGAAGCCTTGTCCCTTTCGGCTACAGACTGCAAGGAAGGGCAGGGCTCTGGCCATGGGACCAGCAGCAATATGGAGCCTTAAAGACACTATCTGCCGACAGTCCACAAGGCTCCTTTTAATTTGTGCTTTCTATGGACAAAATCTTGTTCTTGCAGCAGTGGAGCCCGCCTGAAGCTGCTACCCAGGGGAGTAGCAAAAATAGGTTTCCTAGCAGTGGTGGGTATTTTAATTAAAGGGTGAGCAAAACTGCACGGGGAAGCTTTGGGATACTTTGCAGTTGGCAACTTAAAATACAGCTCCACTTGGAAAACGGTGTCTTTGCAGAAATGGCACCTCCTGACTCAGCATCTGTTGTTTTTTTTTTTTTGCGCAGTCAGATGTGCTGACGCAAATCATAAAAAAGCCAGGTTTATTAATGTGTTTTCTGCTTCTGGTAGCCTGCAGGAACCAGGCAGGGGAGGGGAAACTGCCAGCACCCCAGTCCTGCTGGGTTTGCATCCTCAGCTCCCGATTTCCACTTCCACCTCCCTGCCACGTAACCCCCTGTCCACCAGCGGCTCATGTGCAGATATACGCGATGCCTCCCCTCCAGCTCCCATGCAACCATGATGGATTTGCAAGGAAAATCCACATATACCAAGGCACAGCTCAGCGCACCATCCCTGGGGGTGGGTTAGAGCTTAAAAAATCCTTTTCTAGAGAAAAAAAAAGTCATTAATGGGGCTGGAGACAAAGAAACGCCTCCTACAGAGGTGAGAGCCCCTCCAGGCCCTGCTGGAGGTCCCTTTGGGTGGCTCTGTCACTGTTGTCCCCCAGAGAGCACCCTTGGGGTGCCGCAGAGCCACAGGGGTTAATTTGGCTGACGGAGATGTCAGAGGAGAAGGTCTGGAAAGCTGTCACAGTGGGAGGTTGGCAAAAAAACAACCTCAAAACAGGTCTTTACTTGCAAGCAAAGTCCAGGTGATCCGGGAGCAGGTCTGGGCAGCGATAAATTGGGGTGCAACACCATATCTAAGCGTGGTGGGACTGAGGCAGCTGCTACAGCGAGGGTTGGGTGGGACCACACCAGTACCTGTCTCCTTTCATTTGCCAGGAAGCACTGAGACTGGCTCCTCCAGCTCAAACCAAAACAAGTAAAAACACAGGGCAAAGCAAGCAAGCCAAAGAAATCCCCTCCCCAGGGTTTTGACACTGAAAAAATGGATTTGTGTTGGTTTTCTTTTATAAAGTCAGTGGCTGCATGATGCTAGCATTACCCAGCCAAAAATAAAATAAAAAAGAGAGTAATTTA